GACTACTTCCTGGAGACATGTGTTCTGTTTACCTGCTCAACCAGGAAGAACAGATCCTATAAAGTCAACGATTGGATGCAATCAGCATCAAAAATAATTAATCTGATAAATCGATTGTTAAAATTTATGTCAACTTATTTATTAATCAATTAATTGTTAAAGGAAAAGTCTGGCCATATTCTGAAAGTCCTTTAAAAGTGAATTGATTCCATCGTGTCCAGGAAGCTGAAACACCGCGGCTCACCAGCGTCGGTTCATCAGGAGGCAGCAGGCGGTTGGTTCTGCAGAACAGGGCGGCCCGGTGGGTCCGCTTCGCCAGATGCATGGCGATGGTGTGCTGAGCCGCCGCTGCGATGTCATTCACGCTGGACAGCAGGGTTCCTTCCTGTACGCCTGCAGAGGGAGGCCAGCTGTGACTGCGGCGGCCGGACGTCTACGGCGAGACGCCCGGACGCCTCCTTACCTTCCTCCTCCTCCTGCTTCTGGATCGCCATGGTGATCTGGTTCCGCAGTCCGGCGAAGGAGAAGCAGCAGTCTGGAGTTTGTCCCATCGGTGTCCTGAAGCCAAACCTCCTTCTGTCTCCGTCCTTGGCCAGCAGCTCTATGGCCTCGCCGCCACTCAGCGTGGAGCAGCGGGGGTGCTTCCTGAGGGACAGACGTCTGGCCACCTGAGGACCAGCAGAGATCAGCGTCTGGTAACCTCAGCACCATCTGCCGCCGCGCTCCCAAAGCTGTACCTTGTCCAGCGTGTCTCCCGGAGCTTCGTCCAGCGTGCGTCCCAGGAGCAGGAAGTCATCCACGCCTCGCGCCACGGCCAGGAGGGCGTGGCCCCCGGACACCAGCAGCACCAGGAAGGGGAAGCTGACGGCGTGGAGCATCCTGACGGTCAGGGCGTGGGCCTCCATGTGGTGGACGGGGATGAACGGCTTGTTGTGCTGCCTGACGAACGCCTGGCTGAACCGCAGGCCCACGCCGAGGCTCAGGGCCAGACCGGGCTTCACGGTGGCGGCCACGGCGGCGAGCTGCGCCGGAGCCACGCCGCTCCGCTGCAGGGCCTCCTGGACCACGCGCTGGATGTTTGCTCTGTGGAGCTCCTGGGCCACTGTGGGGATGATGCCGCCCGACCTGAAGGGGAGACAGAGACGGTTGGGTGGGGGCGCTCTAAGGGTGGGGGCGCTCTAAGGGTGGGGGCGCTCTAAGGGTGGGGGCTGATGGACCTACAGTTTCTCCACCCAAACGCTTTCATTTCCGTTATTGTATTTTCCAAAATTGAGCTCAAACATCTATTTTTATTGAATGCTTTCCTGTAGTTCACAATAGAACAACAATACGCTGATGTTTATATTTATGAGCAGTTAGAAATTATTTTATTTATTAAAAAAAAGATGAATAACAGCCGATTCTGATGCCAACAGCGATACATCATGCCTCGCTAGTATGCACACAGTTTCAGCTTCATTCATCCAGAGAAATGTGGATCGATTGATTGGATGTTTTTCCTTTCAGCTCCATCAGTGATTATCCTCCTTAAAAAGCATCAAAATCAAATTTAGAAATGTGTCCCACTTATTGCTGAGAACCAAAGTCTATTGAAAGTAGAAAACTAGCTGTTCCTGAGAAACAGCTGTGAGAATGCTGGA